AACCTAGCGTATTTTAGAATTTGATTTTGCATCGCATGATTCATTTAATATATTGTCACTCTAACGTCTCTATTTTCTTTTTCTTAAAACAATGTCATTCATGCTAAATAAACATTAATTCTTCCTAGCCACTTGAAAATACAAAGCAGAATATCATCATTCATGGTGGTTTGGTGTAGGTAAGGGCTTTTAATGCTTTTGTTTAGGTATTCTACTTCCCGCCAAATAGCTCGCACTCAATCGGGATAGCCCACGTGTCGAGCCCTGAAGACAGAGGAAAGTAGCCGTTAAGATACGACGTCTCCCGCCAGGGTATAGGCGTCAGGACCCACGGAAGTGTCGGACCCGTGCCCTTAATCAGATTCTGTGTGAGCATATAAGGATCCTACAATTATATCTATTCATCGTCGTGTGATTATATATTATTGTAAATTTTTTTATTTAAAATTAAATATAAACAATATATGATAAAAACTGACCGTACGATATACGATGAACGGATGTGATTGAAGGATCCGACTAAGATCCTCTCTCGTCCCTGGCTGGCCCAAAGAGCCATTGATGTGAACCAACACGGGAAATTTCCTTCAATTTTTTTATTTTATTTCTTAACTTTTTTGTCACTTTATTTAGAATGAATTCATTATCATCGTGGTATTCTCCGCTTAAGAAATGTAAGGAAATTCTCTTAAAAATGAGACTTTCTATGGTCTATTTGTCCTCTCATGTTTTTGTTATAATGTTTTATAATGTTGGCACATAAATTAACTTTAAACTGTGAAGTAGCAAATAATTCATGAAAAGTCTCATTTTGAGAGAACCATTGTAACATTTCTCTGTTCCACTATGACCATTTAACATAATAATATATTGTCATTTGACAAAAAGGGAAAAAAAAATTACGCAATGGTAATTCATAATTAATTGAAATGAAACACTACACGGTGAGTTAAGTGAGAAGTATTCTCGGCTCTAATTCACCTTGTGTTGCCTGCTTTGAATACGCAATAAACATCTAATGGGCTAATAGCGCCGCCTATAATATCTTAGCGGGCGACACCACTAATGATATGTATCTTGTTTGCAAGAGAGAATTTCTCGTGATTGATACATTGCAAAGCAATAATAGGACTGGAACACAGGAAGTTGCATGGTTGTTCTGGATCCCACAGACTGCACCAGACTGATGCACCACTTATGGGTAATAAGAACAAGAGCAGAGATGATAAAAGAAAGGTTGCAGAGTACATGAAAAAGTTAAAAATGATAAAGTGCAAAAGATTAGGGGTGCTAAAACTCATGATGATTTGTTTTTAGTGATGATGACTCTCTCCGGATCTCATATTTCAGAACTCGTGATCAAACGATCTAAATTGTTGAATTTAAATGTTGCTATCTTTTTTGGTATTTTCTCTATAGCTCATTTCACATATAATCTCTTTCTTCTGAGGATCAGATATTTCTCTTTTAAACAATTCGAATTATTTGGTCTGCCAACTCTGGAGTGTGAGGTTCGAAAATGATCTAACCTCTTTTCACGATGGGCCTGCACGCTAACAGAGTCGACAACACATTTAATCGGGTCATGAAAACGAACAGTCTATCAATAAACGAACAAACTATTCATTGTATTCAATTGCATGACATGTCGTTCTCACTTCCATTGTCATTGCATGCATTTCATAACTCGCTCGGCCCACGTACAGAGGCTACCAATACGACCCTTCATTACGAGGAAACTTCCATGCATCGCTTGTTGTATACTTTTTTTTCTATATCTGCCGTTGTTTATACAAACAGATAAACCACAGAAGAAATTTGAATTAATATTTGTTTACTCGAGAAATGTTAAGGGGACTATTTCAAAGTAGGACTCCCTGTCACCTCATAGTTTAACATCAATTCCCATACCAACATTATAAAATATTGTGCCAAAAACATAAGTTGACAGACAGTTTATGAAAAATCTTTGGTTGTGCTTTGAAAATTTTACATATTGAGAGTCGAAAGGTGCCAAAATAGAGTTGTACTCATTTGGTTGTGAGATTGCATGACCATCCCTACTCAAGTTTCTCTGCTCATTCACACAGAAAATATCATGATTCCCAATACACAATACAAGGTCAGTGCCTACTAAATCCAGCAAAACATGTGCAATGTTTTGTGTTGACAAAACATTGGCAATGTTTGTATTGACAAAACATGTGCAATGTTTGTATTGACAAACCATGGAGGTAAAGTAAATCAGCCCTAATTTTTTTATATATAGGAATATATGCATACAATGTAAGAAAGATACACTTCAAATTTAAAAAATTTGGGATTCGTTTAAAAATGCTTTTAAAATAACTGAAAAGTGTTGGAAGAAGTAATAAAGTGTTTTTTCAGGATCCACTTGAATTTTTACTAAGGACTGGTTTCAGAAAAATTTCACTAAAAATACTTTTAGTCATTTTAAAGGCACTTCCAAACAAGCCCTTGATCTATCCACGGTGGATTTAATATATTTGTATTTATAATTTATTGTTGCACGTAGCGTCAATAATCCGTTGTAGTCTAGTTGGTCAGGATATTCGGCTCTCACCCGAAAGACCCGGGTTCAAGTCCCGGCAACGGAACTCTATTTTTCCATTATTTTTGCTCTTGGGTTTTTAATTTCACATGGGCTTATGCCAAAGGCCCAAATTCTTACACCACCAATCCCCTACTTCTTTGGTTCGTTTTTCCAGGTTATTACTTATTCCTTCCTGCTTTCTCTACTCGGAGGAGAGGAGGGATCCTTGATAATGCTTGCCAGAATTCAGAAGCAATTTCCAGATTCCAGTGCCCTCAACAGGTCGTCTGCGGAGATCGAACTAAAGTTATCGGAGTTTAAAACGTTCATAGATCTTGCTGGTAACGAGCTCACGTCCGACGACTTCGGAATGGTCCTTTCCCTGCTGTTCTTCAGCTGTTCTTCTGGTCCTGATCCTGGGATATGGGCTACCACTGCAATTCCAGGGTTGTTGGGTATGCGAACAACTACATTGTCAATGGGTGTTTGAGTGACTCCTCGACCTCGAGTACATGGCTTGTGCGCATCTTATCGAAGTTTGCTCAAATAAACAATCTGGACGTTAACGTTGATCGGGCATTGATCGTGTATGTATTCTAGGGTTGATACCATCGATTATCTTGTGGAAGATTACATTCCGAAGGTTTCGAGCGTCCTCTGATCATGGCTGCCATGATTCTCTGTAAGCAATTTTCGGAATGGTTTGTTTAAAAGGAAAACTAATGAAAATAGCTGCCTGGACTTGGACCTCTGCGCAAGTCTCGTAATTGCAACTTCTTGCGGCCAAGTTGTTTTTGCTGCCTATCTCCTTCCTCATATCCCTCGTCATCTCCTTACAAAGCGAGGAACTCGAATTCTCAGGGCTGCTGGTGTAACCTTCCACTCTATCGGGAGTGTGTCAATGCAGCGAGCGGCTGTTTGGTGTCGCAAAGGCTGAGAGGGGCTGCTCTTGTATATTTTGACAAAAACTTCTAGCAACATATATATCAACAGTGCCTGTTTTGATGATAACTGCAACTGAGCAGGTAGCTTATTATTTCTTTGTGTGAATTCCTTCCCGTTCCCCTACCATATGCCTCCCATCGTCTGTCTAAGGAAAATGATATCCACATACCTGTTTTCTCTCCGATGCTCTTTTAATTCATTCAATTTCAATTTAAAAACTAGAAAAAAAGGGAGACTGCGGAGTATAAAAGAGCGCGGACATTATTTTCCCGAGTCAAATGTTATGCGAGTGAATTAGAAGCAAAAAAGGGTAAAGGCCATGGCCCTCAGAAAGTGAGATATGAGGCGTGAGCGTTCCGGCCCTATCTACGCTTTCATTTCATGGTCCTGCTTGATAGAGAAATTTTTAATTGTGACGGGAATATAGGTGATACATCACGTGTTTTTATGTAAGTAGTGGAAAATTTTATTTTTTAAGTTATTAACTTTTTTGACACACATATCACACTATTTATATAATGATGCGTGATGTACCATCCCGTATGACTGTCATACTAAAAAAGCTCTATGTCGGATGAACCTAGCAAGCAGCTACCTGGCTAATAGAAAAATGGAACTTTAACAAAAAACTCCTGGTATTATTTACATTAACGAAAAATCACATTCTTACACTAAAAAGTCAATCATGATACTATTTACTTTATTTTATCTTTATCGTTAAAACTTAAAATTTTCAAACCATTTTCAATAATTTTTTTCATAAAAAAACCCACTTGGTTGAGGTACCAACGTAAAAATAAAGAGACCACGTGCTGGTCAACAATTTCCTAATAAAATCCGACGTGCAAGCAAAGGCCCAGAGAATCTGATTAGGGGACCACGTGCCTGGCGAACGTTCAATCTTAACGGCTACTTTCCTATCTCTACAGTTGTCGCCACGTGCTCCACCCCAATTGAGTGTTAGTTATTTGGCGGGAACATAGGGGGGCAACTTACACCGGATGATACGTCGCTTCGGTGAGTCCCCTCGCCTGCCAATCATTCCATACCAATAATACACTTCGTGTAAAGTATACGTTGTATTTAACATCACATAACGTCAAAATAACAGTATTATATGTGCTACGTAAATTATTCTCATATTTCAAATAAAATTTTTATCCCCGTTTCAAATCCAATGAATTTAGATTTTAAATTTATAAATTTTAGTTTATTTAACGATGATAAATGAAACTGTGAATAAAAACACTTCATTTTAAATCTATTCATTTAAAAATTCAAATCTGACTATCTAGATCTAAGCTCAATAAAAAAAAAAAAAAAAAAAGGAAGGATTCTCTACCCTTCTAACTCTCTACCCTTTTATGCCCTTCTATTTGAACGGTCACAGTTAAACCACGTCAACATCTTATATTGATTTTTTATAAGATAATAAGACAAAAAACAATGTGTGTGAGGAAGAGATGGAAAAGAATGAGAATAGAAGAGTAGAGAATCCTCCTAAAAAAAAGTTGCAGTAATGACATTTGGCTTACTGGATCGTATTTCCGGGACCCTGATCAAAGTTAATTGAGCAAAAGTAGGAAAAAACCAGGAATATAACCAATAGTAGAAAATGAATCAATCAACTGCTGCAATGAAGATAATGGTCTTTTTTTTTTTTTTTTTTTTTTTTTCTTTTCTTGGTTAAAAGCTGAAATTGAAAATTAGGCTGGCGAAGGCAGAGACGTCGGATCAGCTGACGACGGGATGTCGGGTCCGACTCTGCAACCTTCAAGCATGAACACAATGTCGGCAATGGATGGTCGATCAAGCGGATCAGGAGCCGTGCAAAGAAGCCCCACTTTCACTCCCAGCAAGAACTCTTCCCAGTCTGACGATTCCGGGTCTAGTTCGAGCAGCCCGGGCTCGAGCAGCTCGGAAACTTGACCGTTCTGAAGTTGCTTCTTCACCCACTTCACAATGTCTTCGTCTTGAGTAAACGTCATCGGATTCCTCCCGGTCAGTATCTCCATCAATACAATCCCAAAACTATACACATCGGCTTCTTTCGTTGCTTGCCCTGTTAATGCAGCTTCGGGGGACACATAGCCTAAGGAGCCAATCGTGGTTGAAGACGAGGAAGCTTTTGCTGGTGTGACTATGGTTACCCGGTCTAGACCAAATTCGGATAAATGGGCTTCGAAATCAGCATCAAAAAGAACGTTCTGTGGCTTCACATCGCCGTGTACCATTGAGGCAGAGTGCAGGTAGGCTAATCCACGAGCAATGCCGAGTGCTATGAGGTGCCTCATTGGCCAATTTAGTACATGCCCGTCTTGGTGAGAAGCCTCTTGTAGAAGAGCGCTTAAGTTTCCATTGGGCATGTAATCGTACACAAGGAGCCTCACGTCCGGAGGACCGGCATAATAGCCTCGTAAAACTGTTAGGTTTCGATGCTTCACCTTGCCAAGATCTTCAGCTTCTTTGCGGAAGCTGCCTTCATCAAGAAAACCATCGGGAAGGCGTCGAACTGCGAGCACCATTCCATCTTGAAACGTGGCCTTGAATACCAGTCCATATCTTCCCCTGCTTAACACATTTTCCTCATCGAATTGTCTCGTTGCTTCCAATGCCTCTGCATACGTGATCTTGCTATTGAACATCACTAGTTTTGGCCCTCCATCGCCACTTCCCCGGCTGCTTTTATCCCCTGAGCTTGTTCGAGGGCTAGTTCGTTTCTTCTGCCCCCCGATTACCGTTTCTCTAAGTTTTGTCCGCCATCGCAGTAGGCTGTAGATATAGCCACAACAACACAACGCCAGAAGAAAAGCTCCTCCCACAGCCACCGCAATCAATAAAGTCAACCTGTTTCTTTTTCTCCTTCTCACATCTGCACATTCTCTATCCAATGGTTTCCCACATAAATCTCCATTCCTTGCAAACACAGAAGGATCGTTGAACTGAGAACCCAGTGGCTTCGGAATCTCTCCAGCAAGGTTGTTGTTTGATAAGTTAAGGTATTTCAAGTGAGGGATGATGAGCGAAAGATCTACGGGGATGGTGCCACTCAAATTGTTAGAGGAAAGATCCAACACTGTGAGGTTCAATAACTTAGGCAATGAGTGTGGTATTTGACCTGAAAGGCGATTCCCACTTAACAACAGAGAATTCAAAGAAGAGCAATTGGAAATCTCCTTTGGGATTTCACCTGTCAACTTATTATGACCTAGATTGAGCTCTTTCAAATTGGATAGGCGAGAGATATCGCCTGGAATTTTGCCACCTAACTGATTAGAACAAAGCTCAAGAACTCGAAGATTCAAACTATCTCCAAGCTCTTGTGGGATTGTACCCGAAATGCGATTTCCAGACAATGATAGAACAACTAGTGAGTTGAGAAATCCATAAGTTGCAGGAATATCACCAGTAAAAGCATTGTAAGATAGGTTAAGATAGTTCAAACTAATCAAACTACTAAAACCTTGAGGGACATCTCCTGATAAGTGATTTTCCTGCACAGCAACCAGTTGTAAATTTGGCAACCCGAAAATCTGAACCGGCAACTCCCCCGAAAGCTTCTGTTTACTCAAATCAAGTGTTTCAAGCTTCATCAAACCGCCAATGCTTGCAGGAACACTCCCCGAAAACCCACAATTGCTCAAATTCAAAACCTGCAAGCTCTTCAACTCTCCAACATTAATAATTTCACCAGAAAACTTGTTATTACTCAGATTCAAACTAGTCAAGTTGCTTAGCTGCATCATTAGCTCATCAGGAACTTTCCCGGTCAGATTATTGTTGCTCAAATCCAAAGATTCAAGCCACGAAAGCGCTCCTAAACTCACCGGAATGGGACCGGAGAATAAATTCCCACCCAAAGACAACACTTTCAAGCTCCTCATTCCTGCTAAAAAAAGTGGAACTTGACCTGCAAACCTATTTCCTTCAACATCAAGGACCTGCAACAAGCTACATTTCACGATCTCACCAGGAATTTCACCGGACAGCGAGTTATTTGTCACCCGAAACTCCTCCAACCGGAGAAGATTGCCAATCTCCGGCGGCAATTGACCCGAAAACAAGTTTCCAGAAAGATCTAGAACTCTCATAATTGTTGTCACGTTTATCAACCAAGATGGGAAGGAGCCACTTACCTGATTGGATTTTAAGCCCAAAACCCCCAATGCACTCGAACATTTTGAGATATCTGGCGGCTCAGCGATGCTTGTGAGCGCATTGAATCCGAGCTCCACAATCCTCAACGACGAGTCGTTGTTTGCAGTACTGCACAACAACGACGTGGGGACCGCCCCTGACAGCTCGTTCCGCGACAGCGACACCACCTGAAGCTTTGGCATCGCTCCTATCGTCGTCGGAATCAGACCTCTCAGCGCATTGTCGTCGGCGCTCAAATGTACGAGTGAGGAGCAGTTGGAAATCGCCGAAGGCAGAGTACCGTGCAGCTGGTTCGAGTCCAACCACAGATACTCAAGATTCTTGAGACCCCCGATAGTCGCCGGGACCCCGCCGGAGAACCGATTGAATGAGAGATTGATAAGCTGGAGGCTTGAATCAGCGGAGAAGTTCGTCGGAATCTCACCAGAGAATGTATTCGACGAAAGGTCGAGGTAACGGAGGCTCACCGGAATGTCGCCGGAGATTTTTCCAGAGAGGAAATTGTGCGCGACATTGAGGATTTGGAGGTTGGTGAGGTTGAAAATCGCCGGCGGAAGAGTTCCGGTGAGCGAGTTGCCGTGCAGGTAAACAGCCCGCAAGAGAGCGCATTGGGAGAGAGAAGGAGGTATGGCGCCGTTGAAGTTGTTGCTGTAGAGGCTGAGCTTGCGGAGTTCGCGGAGGCTCGCGAGGTGGTCAGTAATTCGGCCGCCAAGGTGGAGACGAGGCAGGCGGAGCTCCCGCACTCGGTCGTTGTAACAGACGACGCCGCGCCAGTCGCACGGGGCCGACGGCGTGGACGTATCCCAGCCGTCAAGAGCGCCAAGAGGGTCGTGGAGGTTACGCTTAAACGCCGTTAACGCTTGGATCTCAGAGAGTGCCGTTTCCGCACTCAGCCGTTGAGCCGCCGTTAAGGTGGCGGGGAAGTAAATTGTTGGAATAGCAATTGTTACGAGGAAGAGGAAGGTGGGCGTCGCCATGAGAGAGGTCAGAGGGAGGACTGGAACGCAGAATGTGCTGGGTTTATAGATTAGTTACGCTGCTGGGTTTGTGGTGGTGGAGGGAGGAGGTGGATCGAGAGGCCGCCATTTTTGCAGATGAGAAGGAGAAGAAGATCTGCTCAGAGGAAAGGGAAAGCGGAGAGAAAGAGGGAGAGAGTTAGGGTTCCAAGTGAGCAGCAGATGAGTGATACTGAGGACTGAAGTGGCAGCGGTGGTGTTTTACTGTGTGGGCAGATGTATGGTAAGTTCACAACCAGTCAAATGGACAGATGCCACGTGTGAAAGGAACGTACTTGGCTCGCTATTGGAGTCAAAGATCGGATCTCTTTGGGGTAGTCTTTCGTACTTGTGGACGACAATTTTGACAAAAAAAGGGAAAAGCAAGTCTCACCTTTTTACTTATTTGTTTATTTATTTTCAATTTTTAGTTGAAAAATAAATAGACAAAATGAAATAAAGTGGAAAAAGGTGAGAGAGGATTCCGCTGGATTCTTTTACGAGAATCTTTTAATTATATTCGTTTAATGTGTATTGTATGGTTAGTTTTCATCAGTTACGCTTTATATTCAATTTTAAGTAAAAAATTTTACAATGATTTCTGATTGCATAATTTACGATGAACACATATGATTTGAAAATTCTTAAAATTCTCACAAAGATCTTGAAATTCTCACAAAGAAAATCCGGCGAAGATCCTGACCGATAAAGAAAATGAGAGTAATAATTGGAGCGGTCCCCCTCAAAATGTCAATGATGTTGTCATGGCCACTGTTGGAAAAAGGGCGGGGAAGATGCGCGGGAGAAAAGGTCGAAAGCGTTACTTTCTTAAGGAAATAATTTCACACATACACTCAACCGAAAGATCGTTGTGACAGCATTCCAACTCAATCGAACACTGCCTTTTGTGTAAACTTACGACATGGTAGTTTTTAAAAGAAAATTAACAAAAAGATCAAAAAAGTTAAAAATAATAAATAAAGATATAATGAATAGTAACAGAAAAAGGTAAAAATATGATTTTTCGTTAAAAGAAAACAGTAACGGAAGTATTTCGTTAAAACTCCCTAGTTTTTAAGGGTAATAATTTACGTTCTCTCTTTGTACTTAGCAAATACTTGATATGTGTTGTTTTTTTAATCAAAAGATAAGAAAGCACCCTTTCTCCCGAAGTTACAGGGCCATTTTGCCGAAGTCCTTCAACATGGTTCTCTCAAGCGTCCTAGTATACTCTACTTGTTCACCTCTGTTGGTTTGGGGTACGGTTAGTTCACCGAGAAAATCGCCCTCCCAATCCCAAGTTTTTTCCTAGAAGTTTCAACCTTGTTGACTATAACAACAGTCGTGACTATAAACAGGCTCACAACTATAGTAGTGTGGTACGCCCTGTTCTCTCACAACCCACTCCTCCTTTTGTTTCTACTTCTAATCACAAGATTGAATAAATCAACTAAGAAATAAGATAAAAACAAACAGGGCATTGCGAAAGTCATTTTTCGCTCTTAAATCGTTTTGGAATGCGGGGGCAGTTGCTTTCCGGTTAGAGGTAAGTTGGAACACGTCCACAGGTGCTTATGGCCTATAACTCGCTCAAACCCGCACTGAATCGGGCAGTGACCGAGGTGGTTATGAGAACTCACTTAAATATATGTCCACCATAATTGTGAGCAGCAGAACAACAACAATAACAAAGCCTTCTCCAACAAAATGGGGTCCGCTGCATAAATCTTAAAATGCCACTCTGCTCGGTTTTACGCCAAGAGCAGCAGAATACAGGTTTAAAAAATGGTGGTAAAAGTACACTAGAAGTAGGAATTTTCTGCATACAGAGAGTATCAACGATACACTTACAGGAATTTGAAGATTCATCCGTGAAAGTAATGACTAGTAAGACTGTACAGAAAAAATGAAAAGGAAACGACTAAATACACTTTCCAGTTTTCAGGCAGGTGTCAAACCTTCAGGAAAGGATTCAACGGCAGGGTCCGGCGAAAGAAATCTACGGCAAGCATAAAAAACAGCTGAATGGAAACGATCGGGTTGGTCTATGAATACAAAGTGCCCAGCCTGCAAATTTTTACCAGGAAGAACTTTATTCATCGAGATCAAATTCAACTAATAACAATAACTTCATGGATAAATAGGAGGGAGAGAAACATACATCTGGAATCCTAATGATCTCGCACGGGACTTTCATCTTTTTGCCAGCTTCTTGAGCCCCTTGGTAGTTCATCCAGTCTTGATAACCATAAATAAAAGTAGTCGGCACTTTCCACTCTGATGCACTGTACATAAAAGAGGAGGACTACATGTAAAAGATTTGCTCAAAGCAAGTTTATTGCAACGAACTTCCAACTCTTCTGTGATAATGAATAAAGAGATTAGTAGCATCAGACCTGTGTATAAGGGGACTCCTTGCAAACGCACCGAAAGAAAATATATACTTTAAGCACAGCTCCCCGCTAGCTTTGGCTGCTAAAGTATGGTACACATAATCTGCAATTGAAGAAAAGAAACCATCAAGATCGTAAAAGGTAGGACATGTGTGTTCTGTGCACAAACAAATTGATCTTAAATTACCTGTTAGAAGTCGGGATTCCTCTTCAGTTAGTGTGGTCCCTGTTGAATAAGAACCAAACCTCGCAGTTGTGTAACTTCGAACAAGATTTGGACCCAAAGGCCCTAGCCCTCTGCAAAAATAAGGTAAACATGTACAAACATAAGAGTTAAGGAAAGCATAATATGAACCACCCGTTTCTCTCTTTCATCTCTAACCCACCACTAATCTTTGGAAGGAATGGATTTCAATGTGCCACAATGGCTCAAAATGTGCGTGGTATGAATGAGAAAAAAGTACTTCATGTCTAAACTGACAATTTGAACAAAAGCAACACACGACTTGAAAAATGATTTAGAAAACAAAAGAAATACATGGGCATGCCTCTTCTGGGCCATTCCTCTCAGGAAAAGGGTGGGAGAGAAGGGAAAGCATGGGAAATCAGTATGGGTGGAGGTGGGAAGCTGAAGTTGTTTCAAATAAATGCAAAAGGATAATATTTCCAATGAATTAGTTTTAGAGGTTCATAGCACACGTGTAATAGTTGCAACCTGCGTCTGTAAAGTGTACAACTACCAGATCAGAAACCTAAATAAATGATTGAAATGGATATATGTACCATGCACGATATGATTTTGCAAATTGTATCAACATTTGTATAGGGAAAAAAAAAAAGAAGACTTATCTACCTGACTAACTTCTGAGGAGTAAAATTAGACTCCCACAAATGGTTAAAAATTGCTCCTTTCCATGTTGCTTTGAATTGGTTAAGCCTCTCGTATGATGTATCTGTCTCTGATGAAAACCCAGCAGATCCCACTAAAATCAAATGCTTAACGTGCTCTGGATGCTATCACATGAATAAAGATTACGATCATGAATACAGAAACTGCCACCCTCATTACTAGATTCAACTAAACATATGGGATGTCAAATACCTTCAGAGCGTACTTCGATGCAACATACCCACCAAATGAATGCCCAAGTAATATAAAGTTGCTGAGGTTTTTGGCTTTTCGCCATTCCTCAAAGGAATCAATGAACCATGCCTCAGTTTCTGCATTACCAGTTGCAAGTTAATTACTCTGGAAAAATTACATTGCCCATACTTACAGATTAATAGTGAAACAAACTTTTTACCACCGTCAAAGTTAAAATGCGCGGAACAAAGAAAATTACCTTCAGTGCTTTTGCATGTAAAATCAGGCCTGCTTGATCCGCCCCAACTGTAAATAAGATTAAACCAAGGATTTGAGCACAAAATGTCTCACAGAAATACACCCCAAAAAGCACCATCTAACATGGAAGTACAAAAGGTTAAAAATGACTGGCATCAAACATGAAAGGAAGTTCAGTGTATTTCTAACGTTTTCGAAATCAGATGGAAAAGAAACCAAAGTGCGCAGTAGAGCTACTATGGAGAGGACCAAAATAAAAGCCTGCCAATTCAGAGCTAGAAAAATTTGTATCTCAACAAAGCCCATGGTAGATATTGACGAAATAATTTGAGTTCCGGAGCACCAGACACAAAAATAGAAGAGAAAAGGGTTCTTTTCTCCTTGAGATAACCAAGACTATATATCTGGTACAAAAACCAACTACTTAAACATCAATTAGACTACTTAGAATTGTAACATTTATGTTCCCTCATTGCAGTGGCATATATGTAAAAGTTTTAACATCACAATTGGAAACGAACGCATATCATATTATCTTCAACGTAGTTAAGGTCGGTTGCACGCCATGGAATAACTTGAAGTATGTCAAAATTTATAACTTTCAAAGGGGGTTAAAAAGAAAGCAAACAAAGAAGACATTCAATGATCAATGTTAAGAATCTGCTCACCCTATTTGATCAATGGCAATGACCCTGAACCGACTGGCAAGGGCATCGAAATTTCTAAAGAAGAAACCTTGAGAAGCACCGTATCCGTGAATCATAACAATCGTAGGAGAATTCTCTTTGCTGTCAAATGTAACCGTGTTGATTTGCCTTTCTTCATTGCTTTCGGATCGAAACCACCGGACTTTGGAGCCCGGCGGTCCAGAGCCTATATTCACCCGTTCTTGAACATAAGGAGTCCTGCAAAATTCAAGCAATGCCCATAAATTTTGCCAGAATTCAACCTTTTCCACCGTTCAGTAAATTGAAGAAATTGAAAAGTTCGGGTTTGATCCCACAAAATTGACAAGAAATTTGAGAGATCGGCCAACTTCAACTCCAAATTAAGGTTCTTATTACGATTGAAATTCAGAAAAAATCCAAAAAATTTGAACTTTCGCGACAGCGCAAACTAACAAAATCCGCAGTTTCCATTTAAGTACTTTCTCAACAAATTCACACAACTTTGCAATCAAACAAACTGGAGAGAGAGAGAGAGAGAGAGAGGTGGATTACTTGACAAGAGAAAGGAGGCGCTTCTCGGCGGCGATGATCTTATCGGTGGAGGTGGGGATCCAACGGAGGACAGAGGGCCACAAGGATCTGGATTTGGGATTAGCCGCAGCAGCAACAGCAACGGATTCGTAGGCCGCAGCAACGGTGGCAGGGGAGGTTCCTAGGTCGCCGGACCTGCTGATTTCGTCGGCCATTCTCGACGAAATTCCACGCAGGTTCATACGCTTTCAACACAAAAATGGAAGCTTTGATTTTTGGCTGCGATTAATAACCGACAATTATTTATATATACGCCGATTCCTTGTCAGTGTTTCGCGCTTTTTTTGGCTCCGACGGAAGGCGACTACTAGGAACACGTGTTAAATTCCCGATCAGTCGTCAGCTTTGACGGTGATTCGAGTAAATACGTTGGCCATTACGTAAATTTCGGCCTTGTGGGGCCCCCGCGAAACAGGAACTTAATCAACAAGCAACTTCGTCGCCAAACAACCATTCAAGCTTTCCAAATTCAAACACGACTTCTTGTTTTTGTTGTAGAGCCATATCAGCACATTAGTCCAAATATAACGGAATGACGATATTGAAGTGTAGCACTCATATTTAGAGATTATATTTATTAGTTTTTAATTTTAGAGACAAATTTGAGATAAAAATTGAATATTAAATGAAAAAATTATTCTTATTCAAGAAACATCGGAATGATTTTATTCAAAATCTTTGATTAAACATGGGCATTCAGTGATTTGTTTTTTGAAAAAATACGATAGTAGATTTCATTTCATAAAAAAGAGTAATACATCATACAATTTTTGAATCAATGCCTTACACATTCTTCTACAAGCAAAGTCAATAATAACACTTGGAGGAGAACCATTCCATTCATAGCTTTGAGACAAATACAACCCAATCCATGCAAGACGATGAGCAACATAATTTGCATTGCGGCGAGTATGGGTAACAGTAGCTTCAGTGATTAAATGGAGTAGTGCTTTGATGTCTTCCACAATTTACCCAACTGTTGACAAATTGAGAGTGGAATTTCCCCAAAGGCTCCACAATCTGAAATGAATAAGTCTCAAGAAATAAATTTTGAAAACCCCTATTGATAGCCAAATAACGATATTGATGGTCAAATAACCATTCAAAGCCGAATGTATAATTGAAGGTGTATGTGAAAGCAAATGTGAAAATTTATCTACAAAAAGATATAGATATGAAAGATACTTATCCGTTATAATCCTTTGCAATTTACGGATATTACATAGTGTAAGTTTATATAATGAGTAAAACCGTAAGCATATTGACTTTATCCAATCCAATCCAGTTTTGAGAAACCAAGACCTTGTTTAGTCTCTACTACAGAACAGAAGTTAATTTACTCACTAAAATAGTAGGATTGTTAAAGAAATGTTTCCATATACCTAATCATTTCTAATCGGCTTTTTATTCAAAACAATGCCCTTAATTAGCGTAACTCTCCGTTTCATCCTTGATAATATAAATCGATAAAAATGATCCTTGAATTTATTCAATATAAATCATTTTGGTCCATTCGTAAAAAATCTTTTAATATCTTCGTTAAATTGTCATGTGAAAGACCACATGATCGCCTTTTTAAAAGAATTTTTGTCCAACCAACCCTTTCACTTACTTGCGCAATGATAAAATGATTTACGACGGACAAACTCTAGGAGCATTTCTATCGATTTTCATTGTCAAATCAAAGTGATGAATTATATCCATCTCAAGGACCATTTTAATTGAAAAGCCTTTCTAATCACCCCAAAATGAAAACTATTTACCTCTACTTTCACTATTCTTTGAATATAATAAATTATTCAATTCAATCCTAGTGACCAAACGACGCCCAAATGAGCCCTAAGGTCAACCAAAGCACTTGTGCTGGATTCCTCAAATTATTTCACCTTCATAAACCAAACTCAAAATACTTAACGGACCGTTCCGGTAAGTCGGCATTGCAACACATAACTAACGGCCAACACATCCACAACTAAAATAAGAACGAACGTACTAAACACAATGATACAGGCTATATAAATCTTGAACAAATCGACCTGGTAGAACACATCAATCACACCATACAAGAATCTGCACTGCACCAGCGAAACAAAACTTACAACTTTAACGTACAGTAAAGTAGTTCTCGATGAATAGCAGCAACCGCAAACGCCGCCTAGCACACCTTCTAGTCAGCTCTTGACTGCCCCGATCGGGAAGAGAGAATGATACCAACAATCAGACCGTACAGAGCAAGCGCTTCGGCGAAAATGAGAATGAGGATCATCCCAACGAAAAGCTTTGGCTGTTGTGCATTGGCTCTGCATAACACAAAAATGAAATTAGAGAAAACTCTCAATCGGACGGCAACACGACACCAAATACGAGTAACCACACACTGCCTGACAACTAGAATAAAGAGCATAATATTTTTAGATCATTAGGGAAAATAAAAACACCGACGATTATAGGTTCTATACAAAAACACTTAAAAGAGCTCTAACTGATTCTTAGCTGCGATATTCCTTTGATGGCCGTCTTCCATTGGAAAGTCAGCACAGTATTATTTAAAAGTATCGGGTTTGAGCCACTTAGTACTACGGTCTGGTAGTATTCCTCTTCACTTGGAAGTGAGAGGTCTTAGGTTCGAATCTCGTGAATGACGAATTCATTACCAAATTAGGTTATCCATTGTGTGGCTTAGCCGAACCCCCCTCCCCTTAGTGTAAAAATATCAATGTATTCAAAAAAAAAAAAAGTATAGGGTTTGAATTTTTTTCTCAAATGCAATGTTAAGAATCCCTTATATGTCAAAGCCCATAATAAATCACCACACATGTCACAAAACAATCTGCTATTGCCAAGAAGTAAGAGCTAAAAAAAACAAGCACAAGACGCCGCAGAAAGCTCGGTTCTTAAACAATCAAATCGATGTTCACTCTCTCAGTATCTAGTTAGAAACAATAATTACACCAAGAAAACTTGATTCTTAAACAATCCAATCGATGTTGTATTGCAATTTATACAATCAGTTTCAGATTAAAATCGCAAAATGAGTACCAATCTTAAATCAAAATTGAAGCAGTGTAAAATCGAGACTGAAAATGCGAAAACGCCGAAAGCAAACGAGAGATATTACCTAACACCGGCATCACCGACAATGCCGATAGCCATACCGGCAGAAAGACCAGCAAGGCCACAAGCTAGACCAGAGGAAAGATGAGCATAGCCATCGAAAAGGTAATAGGGTTTGGCCTTGGGGTTGATACCGGTACTGATGATGACGGCGATGATAAGTCCGTAAATACCCAACACTCCCGCCATAACCACCGGCACGATCGACTTCATCACCAGCTCCGGCCTCATCACACCCATCGACGCCACTCCTACTCCGCTCTTCGCCGTCCCGTACGCAGCTCCCATGCCTGCAAAACACACAAAACCCGATCAAAATCCCTACATCCGCACCGACCAAACCCTAGGCGGTTAGATCTGGACCGAATCGGAACGTACAGGAGAAAACGAGGGCCGCGGCGGCGCCAAGGAACCCGAAGAACGGTGCCGTTTCATCGCCGCTGAAGGTTGAAGAAGACATTCTGCTCGATCAGACAGATATTCCTTGATCGGATCTGGCTTCTGATGGATTTGGTTTCCTTCTCTTCTCCTTGAATGCCTTTAAGCGTGTGTGTTTCGACTTTCGATCTCAGCCTCCAACAGTACGAGTATGTTATTACGTTTATACCCCCGGGATTTAGAGGAGTCACGAGCTGACGAGATGAGCGTGTACAATACTTTGAGCCCTCAGTTATTCTTGTAATTAGAGTAATTTAAAATAAAATATCATTTTTTACGTAACGACGTAGATTTAAATTTCGTTGATAACTAATTTAACGATTAATCTAACAAAATTTATTTTGATTCACTCAAAAATAGAATAGCATCTTATAAAGAAAAACAAAATGGCTTATGCACCTTATGCACACCCCTTTTCATCTTCTGCTTTTGCAAAACCCCTCTTAATTATGATCATTGACTCTGTCTTTGATTTGTTTAATCCAATTATTAGAAGAAAAAAAAAAGTTTTTTAGTTAAAATGGTTCCTGAAATTACGTAACTCCTCCCTTTAACACCTAAAATTTAAAATCGATAGAAGTCATCCTTGAGATTATCCACTATCAGTCATTTTGGTCATCCTATTAAAAATCTCTTAAATTGAGGGTACTTTTGTCAAATCAACCCCTCCACTTGAAATGGTAATTTCTTCAATTTGACGGTGATTTTTCACAAAATGACCAAAATGATCCACAATGGACAATCTCATAAACCACTTCTGGTGATTTTAAATCTCAGAAATCAAAGTAAGGAATTATGCCAAACTTAGAGATTATTTTGGCTAAAAAGCCAAAAAGAAAAACGTGCAGGAGGAAGAAAAACGGTGCATAAATCATCTGTCCTTTCACAAGGGTGGAATCAGCATAAGAAACTGAATACAGCATGCAAACGGTCCGTTAAACTCCTATGGAGGGAGAAAATTCCCTGCAACGTAACAGCAAGTACCGAGTACATTGGAATTTTGGCCATTTCTTTAGCTTGCCAAATGTTCTACAGTTGCATGTTTGCCTAACAGTACTAAAACATCACATAAGCAATTAAAAGACAGTAACAACGACAAAATATTAAATGTTCGGCATCATTTGAACCTCATCCCAGTAATTTAGGAAAAGAGAATGGTTAAATCTGATATCTTCCACTACTTGGTAATGCTAATCACTCAAATGGAATGCATACCGTTACCAACTTTCGAATAAAGTAGGGTTGATGTCATTCAAGAAAAAGTTCATGCCAATTGTCAAAGCTGTATAAAACAAAACGTATGCAGGCGGTACTGCCCTATAAGATGTTAGGAATCACAACTAAGCGAAACTCAATCCAAATGTCAGGCAAAAGAACACGTAATATGTTAAAACAAACACATGTATTAGCCTAATCCATCTCATGTCATGGAATCTGCCAACAGTTTGGCATATTGAACATCAATCAGGCAAGGGTTGATCAATCTTCAAAACATATTAGAATCAACAAATGCGGAGATATAGAGGCTAGAGTGCATACCTCTCGCTTCTTCTGAACAGCCAAAGATATCTTTCCTGGCCTAGCAACAATCAAATAGAGGTGTAATCAGAGACTAAAAACACTAGAAGCGAGAGCAAAGGCAATTTCAATATGATGGATAAAACCTGGCATTTCATCACGCAATCGAACCATAATTGAAGCTAAAACTGAATACAATTTCTGTATGCATAGTTTTAGATGTATAACAGAACATCTACTACAAAATATACCTGCGCTTATTTTCTGGATTTCAATGCAATACGGCTATTACACGTATGCTTTGACATGAATCACTAATTTGGAAGCTGGAACAAGAAGTTGAAATTATTAGAGCACATCATACATGAAAAAGCCTCCCCACACAAGGCACAATCAAAGAGGAAAAAAGTTCAGAAAGCTGATATTTCATCCATTGGAGTCTGCCAATAGAGAAATATGCAACTCCGTTCAATTTAATGGGGAGCAAATATAAAGTTAGTGCTTTCTGTATAACCAAAAGAGTAACCATATCAGATTAAAGTACGTTGGCCACCATGGAAAAATGTTCTGTATTCTTGTTGACTAACACAATCCTACTCTGTACACATAGGAAATAATGATAAAAAGAAAAAAGTCAGGAATTAGTTTCTCCTCGTCGAGGATCCCCGAATGAAAAATAGGATATGACAAACCAACTTCTTCGTGCAATCTGCTATCATCTCCATACCAAGTTGATGCATGTAATTGAAATGGACAAAGCAACCTGCTTTGAGAGAATTCATTATGCTTCCATTTGCATCCAAAATGGTTGTCCCTATTGCACTGACCAAACATAATTGCATTTCACGATGCCCAGTTCAACAGGCAACAAACATGCCCTTTCTTCCATTGCTTCTTCTAAATCACTGAAATGCTTGTAGGCAGTTTCATTCAGAAGATCCGATTTGATTCTATCTGTGAGCCACCACTTCCAAGCGTACGCTTTAAATTCATCCAGGAACAACAGAATTCTGCATGTACTGTACGGAAGTCCATGCACAAACACAGGCCAATCAACCCAAGGGACCATCAAGATTTCATTGTGGGCTTCGCTGCCATGTGCCTCTCAATCAATGTATCCACAAATGCACGGATCTGCAGTTTTTAAAGCATTGAAGAGAAACTTGGTAAGAAGAAACTAATGTCACCCCATCATATGTTAATGAAAAAACTTCTGTTCATTCCCGGGTGAAATTTTTGTACAAGCTATCCTGTACTTAATGAAAAAACTTCTGTTCGTTCCCTGGCGAAATTGATGTACAGTAACAAAAAGTTCAGGATAGCATGTACACAAATTCCAAGTTGCCAACAATATTTTATTTTTGCTCATTCAAGTGAAGAAAGCCAATCTTTGATGGAAAATAGTTCAAATCTCAGCCAGGAAATCACTTTGACAGCTTAAAAAAACTCATTAAAGCAAGCATGGAAAGACATATATGACATTTTATAACAAACACAATGGAAGAATACCTTGTTCCTGCGCTTGAAATCAAGAAACTCATAAACAGCCATGGCTTTTTCTGAGTCTGTGGCCAGCTCCATGACCTGAAAATTGAATTCCCAAAAAATTTAAGACTAAAGAAAAACAAAGGAATGGGAATAGTTGCAAAACTGAGTTCAACAAAATCAAAACATTTTTTTACTGGAAAGCATGGTATATTTTCTGTTTAGTATGACAGGAAGGATATATGAAAAATTACCAACCTTGGTAGCACTTTTCTTCATGATTGACTTGTATCCCTCTCTATCTATTTTTTTAGCTTTATAAAGGGGCATAAGCAATGAAGCCACATAATCGACAACAGCCTGCTTGATATTATCTGCTCCTCGATGATGACTTTTTAACGACTCCTTGTTCATGGTAACTTGGGAAACAGAGCTCTCATTTACAGGTCCTTCATTCTTCCAGCTGTGTTTTCTCGAAGTCGTATTTGAATCTTCCTCGTCATTTATATACGGTGCTGAATGGAAAAAATCAGGGTCTGCTGCAGCTGCTTGAGATTGCCACATCTCAATGGCATGATAATCCTTTATCCCGGCACTACCAGCTGTATCAACCCATGCTCTTGTATAAATACTGCTGTCGACAGCAGCACTCTCTCCTGAGTGCTCTCTGAAATTCGTTTGACTAGCAGTCTCATTTGGATTGCTCCGCTGGGAGAGGTTATCGACTGACATTCTTGAACTATCAATATTGACGCAAGCAGCAGAGAAATCAACAGACCAATCCCTAACTTTGCAGTTCCTGGAGTCTATTTCTGATACACAATCTTGTCTACCCAAAACACCACCAGACCACTTCCTCCTAAAATCATACTCATCCATTTGAGGGTACTGCTCCCGTCGAGCAAACTTATGAAATGAGGGAATCTTGGGAAGCTGAAGCAGTGTACTGCTCTTGGCTTCTGAAGATGCATATGCCTACAATGAACAACAACAACTAAATTCTTGTGGAACAAAATGGCACAAATAGGAAGGGGAGAGGCATTACTATTCACACTAAATTGAGTAGAGTAACGAGAGAAACAAACCTCAGCAGCTGCAAGTGCTGCTGCACGGGCTGCTTCAGCAGCAGCAATGGCAGCTCTTTCTGCTTCTGTCACAGAAACCTCAATCTCCTTTAGCTCAGAATGTGGCCTGTCTGTTGAACCACGAAACCTTGATGAATTGATTTCCGATTTTGAGGAATTTTCTGTTTCACCCTTAATAGATTTGCCGTTCACTTTCTTACCATTTGCATTCAAGGGCAAATGGCTTGCAGTGGATGCTGAATCCTGTAAGCTTCCTTTGTGCTCCAAACCACAATGAAATGTGTGTAGAGGTGGCTTACTAGAAGATGGATCTCTAATTGTTTTTCTCTTCCATGCATCTGCAGCAGTTGCTTGCCTTGACAACTTCAATGCACCATTGGAAGCTTTTTCCTTGCGAAAAACTTCTAGCCACACATTAACTAGCTGACTTGCTATGGCACGTATATCACGGCTCGTATGTACACAAACTTTTTCTCTTACAGTCTTCCCAATGCCTGCACCAGAAAACAGAGAGATCAACTAATTTTAAAGAAACACATTCTAATGATACACATTAATGCACATAGGAGTGCCAGTAGATAAAGATCGAGAAATAAGAAGACAATACCAGACAAGCGCACAGCCAGTAGGTCCGTTGAAACAAGCACAAGGAGCCGAACACAATGCCGCAAGAGTTGAGTCCCAGCCTTCCCCATCGAGTCCTATTGTAGTAAGAAAATTTATAGTCACAAAAAGAAAAGAAAAATATTCTAAGAAAGCAAACATTGGATGCTATCAACAAAAAAAAAAAAAAATGTGTGTGTGAACATATTGTGAATTCATAATGATTGAATGATAGATAAATATAATGCAGAATTACCAGTATCCATGAGTTGAGAATAGTCAGCCCTTCTTTGGTGCCAGCAAAGGACTTCAAGGTTTCAACGGGAAGATTTAATAACTCCTTGGCCAGATGCAACCTTCCTTTAGTGGTCTTTGCATTAAAGAACATGTCCTGGAGTAGGGCCTCTTTGGTCTTGTAAGGGACATTTGAAAGTTCAACTGCATCAAGTCTCCTTGTCATGTCTCTAACTTCATCCCTTTCAGAATCTGATTGTCTCTGAATACCCGCAATTGCCTCTGCTTCTGCTGTGTAATCATTTCCAGTAGTCAGTATGTCAATTATACGCACTGCCTCCCGAAGGCCACTCATCATCGCACCACCAACAGTGTCAGGATGCTCCTTGCAGGTAGCTTCACCAGCAAAAAATAGGCAGCTCTCAACAGGTCTCCCTAGTATATCATAATCTTCCCCCGAAGCTCCAACAGCAACATATGAGTAGGCACCATAGCTGAAAGGATCCCTACCCCAATCTGTCACAACTGATGCAACAGGATCAGGTACTGAAGCCTCTCCAAACAATTTACGAAGTACCACTAAAGCATGGTTAACATGTTCAGAAGCGCTCATCTTTTGCCCATCTATAGCTGCCTTACCAACCACTAAAGCTATAAGAACAGGAGCCCCAACGGTTTTCTTGACATTCCAGAACATAAAGCACTGGCCCCTCAGGTCTGTTTCCTCAGCAGTTGCTCCAAAGTAATCCACAGAGTCATCCCAAAAGACATCCTGAAATTCCAAAACTACTTTATTAAGAACTCCAAACCCAAGCCGCAGGATGGAAGAATGTTTCCAGTGGGGTAACGGTGGGGAAAATTTGATGGTTTCTGATTTTAAGCACCCAAGAGGCACCGTAATCAAAACTGCATCTCCTGAAAAATCGCTGCCATTAGATGTGGAAACCTTGACTTTGTTACACTGGTTATTATTCAATCCTGCATCCTTGGTGCCATATGAAACATCAGTTACTACATGATTCAAGTGAATTTGAAGTCCTTCTCCAAGAGACTCAACAACAGTGCTGTAACCCCCTTTAATCATGCAGTGAGCTCCTCCAAAGCCACCATAAACATCATCCTGGTTCCAGTTGGGGAGAGATACCTCCTTCAGTAGAGTAGCACAACCATATTCCAAATTGGCAAAATGCCAATCCATGACCCTCCTCTCAAGAGGGCTCAAAAGCTCTTGCTTTTGACAACTTTCTTCAGCTCTATCTATACTTTTTTTGGCATCAGTGAAACCATCCATTAAACCATGCAGTTCTTTTTCTTCAATACTAGTCCCTGTTTTTTCCATACGACGCCTCTTGAGGGCATATTCCAAACCTTCCTCGAGGGACATTCTCGTCTGTTCTCCCTCCCGTGCAACAAGCAATACCATGTCATCAAGAAGGCTGTTGAACTCTGCTTCCAATGCTTCATCCAGATCTGCAGGAACCTTTTCACCTGTTGCAATGTCATAAAGAGGGCAATCACTGTTTAAGACAGTCAACTCTAGGCCCAGCTGAGCACAAACCAAAGAGGAGGGGTCTGGTCGTCTTTCAGTTGCCCAATCAGCCTCAACACCAGTTATAATGCTCGCACCAAGATCCACAGGAACTGATAGAGATGACCTGTCTGTATAAACACGGCCCCCTATCCTACTCCTAGCTTCCAATATAGTGACTAAAAAGCCCTGACGTTGCAAGTGGCGTGCAGCAGTTAATCCAGCAGGACCAGCACCTATGACAATGATTTTCTTTTTGACTTCCAGACCACATTGCAGATTATTATTTCTCACTGCATGATCTTGTGATGCACACTGAGTACTATGTGATACATTCTTTAACTCTGGAGTTACAAGAGGGACGCCTCCATCACCCAATGTCTCACCAATTGGATCACTACTTGAAACATCCTTATTGTCCAATTTACTTTGTAACCTTGCATCAACACTTGTGTTTTCCGGGTGATCCGCCTTGCACTCAGCATGGTTTGTTGCATTGGATAATTCCAATGCCACTGTAGTAACAAGCCCATTGTCTTTTGAGACTCCCTGTGTCGAGTTGTCGTTTTTAATTATGACACCGCTCTTCGCATCAATTTTAGTTTTAGAACTCTTAACCTGGCCAATGATAAAGGAAACTCCATCCTCTGAATCAGCAACGGATACCCCAGAAATTTCCTCAAAATTTTTTTCTCTCAAAATTTTATAGTCATGCTTGGAACCAGGTTCTGCTTTATCCTTCTCAAGAGCAATTCCAATATTTATATAGCCCTGTCCAAGTTTTGATACATTGGAATAAATGAGACAAGTTAATACTACAATCCTTCCTAAGGAAATGTGAGAATGAAAAGACACTAGGAAAAGAGGAAGAAGACTGATCAATATTGGACTGGCACATAGAAAAATCTCTAAATGCTTTATAAACTTACACTGAGATCAAGGAATGCATAAATATCCTTAATTAGGGAAGCACGAGGTGAATCATCCACACAAGAAGTATCTGTTACCCCACAATCAGTGAGAGGCAAAATTCGACTAACATCTTTATTCCACAGAGCAAGGATCTGGTTCCTGTATTGCAATATCATCAAACATTGGACAAAACCACTTAAAGAAGAAAGAAAAAAAATCTGAACCAAATGCCAATCATACAAACATAAATAGACCATCAATTTTACTAATGTCAACTTAAGTAAAGCGGCATCAAAATTTAAAAAGAAAACTCAAACCGTTAAGGTCAAACAGAACTTAGCATTAGAAGGATGCAACAGAAAACCAAAACATTTGAAAAATTAGAAACAATTGTCAAGTAAAAAGGATAAAGTAACAGCTACAATTAGTATCAAGTACAAAATGCTGAAAGATGCAATTCGTACAAGAAACCCCTATTATTTTACATGCAGGTTTCAGATTAATAACTAACCTGCATTCCAAATAGTCCTGAACCCCACCTCTGCGCTTCAAAATCTCCTTGAATTTGATCTTCTCAACAGGACCAACTGCGTGAGCTTTAAGACCAGCAGACACTGCTGCAGCCTCACCACTTTCAGACTCTGTACCGATACTTGAAGAGGAATCAAACTTCACTCTCGTTCTAAATGAATTGTCACCATCCAAACCTTGATCATTTATCAAGACCTCCCAATCAGCATCCCCCTCATAAGCCATGTCTCCATGCCTACGCTTTCTAGCACTGCGCCCCACACGTTGGATAGCTGATAGCTTAGTGCTTTTGTTTTCAACATCTGGTAGAGATACTGTGTCTTCTGGGAAACTCTCATTTTCATCAGCCTCTTCACAAGTGATAAGATGATCATGAATTGGAACATCATTTTTCTCCTGCAAAGGACCAGAAGCAAGGCCATGACTCTTAGTGCAAGAAATTAGACCATTACAATTACTGTTATTGTCTTCCATCCCCACTGTGTTTGAGGCAAAGTTGGACGACTGATGTTGAGTACGCTGGGAAAAGTTTGGACATCTGTCAGAATCAAGCTCATCCTCAATCTTCACATGGCATGTCAAGGAGTTCTGTTGTAGATGTAACGAGGACACCAAATGTTTGTCCTCCAACTTATTTTCACATGACTTGTCCAGAAGATCATGATTATAATGAGGCAGCATAAATCCTTTCCCAGCTGGAGAAGAGGTTTCACAGTCTGCGGCTAAGGTGCATCTACCCAAAACATCCTTGGACTGAATGGAACCTCCTATAGAGCAGTGCTTCAATCCATCCTCAAAAGTTCGCGTTTGCTGAGTCAAATGTTTGCTGTCTCCATCATTAACTTCATCTGAGCTGCATGGTCCCTCTTGAAAATTTGAACCAGAAGGATCCACTATCGCTTCATTCTTAATCAATTTGGAATCAAATCCTGAATGCGAGTAGGCAGGAGCTCGATCTTCTGAAACAACTTTGTAAGGCCTTTTATGCTTTTTATCATTGAATGTCTCTTGATTCTCCCTATGGAGGTTAGAGGCTTGACATAATCTTAATCTGTAATCAAAACTTTGACTTTCATCTGCCTTACACTGATCAGAGGCTGAATCCAATGAATTTGAATCAGATAAAGGTATGGTGTTTCGTGCAACACCATCCACACTAGGGTTCAACCCTTCCTCCAAAACCTTAGAACCACTCTTCTCTTTAGGACTTGAAGAGGCACGAGAATTCATTACCAAACCAGATTGTGACTTCCAGGAAAATGCTGGTAATGAATCTCCTGGATGATGATCCAAAGAGCTATTAGAACCTTCCCCAAATCTCAGAGACCTAGAAATCTTGGGTCTCTTTCCCTTTCCATTCCCACTGAGCTTGTTTTCTACCCCTATATCGATAGTCACATCAGATCCATCATCACCCATGACAGGGCCTTTCTCTAAAACTCTTGACATCGCTTTTGCATCTAATCCCCTGTCATCCCCATGCCCATTAGAGGACTGATCCAAAGACTGTACACCATCCAAATCAAAACTCCTTCCCCTCATAGTTCCAGTCCCAGAATCTTTCTTAGGACCCTTCAACTTCTTCCTCAAACTTGCCAAGGTATCATCCAGCCCCCCCAAATACTGTTCTTCGTCCTCAACCTTGTTGCCCCTTTCGCCGCCACCCTCTGACCGTGGCTTAACCTTCTTAGGGTTTCTCTGCCTCTTTAACTTCAACAGTGACCCAATTGGCTCATCATCATCAGAATCAACCATATTCGACTCGAGAAATTTCGATCTTTTCTTAAAGCCGGACTTCTTGTCCTCCACATCCATTTTGTCAAACATATCTTTTTACAAAAACAGAGTCTTTCGTAACCCTAATCCAGCTTCAGTGCCCAAATCAGGGAAACCAATCATCACCTTCCACTTCTCTATTGTCAAAAAATTAAAGCTCATGATTCACATGCACCTCGCCTTAAAGCAATTCAGCCACAATTATCAAAAATTGAAGCCACGCCTAGAAATCCCAACACCTATCAAATCGCAGACAATCACAAACTTTAACAATTCAAAATTTTGCAAAATTCAAATCCTCGATAAGCTTCTGCCAAGGATTAAGTTCCTCTATACCTTCTGCCAATGGCCTCCCTCTACTCTAAGTCCTCAATCGATAAAATCTACCATTGAAAAAATACAGAGATAAAAAAAAAAAAAATTATAAAATATAAAATCTACCTAGGTTTTTCAACCAGTTACTAAGCCCTAATGAGAGGAGAAGAGAGGGGTGGGTGGAGGTCAGACCTGTGTGCGGCGGAGCACCACCGCGATGGCGTTAATGGATTCGTCAAAGGGAGTGAAGTGCGCACGTTAGCGTCGCGTTGGAAAATTGGGAAGTTCGGCTGTATAAAATAAAGTGCGCCGCGGGAGAATTAAACGCGCTGACGTAAAATGAAAAGGAAAATTAAAAGAGGAACGTATTGAGTAGGGATTTTTGGCCCCACACGATTTGTAGAGACTGTGTGGGAGTGAAAATAAAACTTACACAATTACAGATAATGCGGTCGCTCAGTACTACTGGTGATATTTTTCTTTAGTTAAAAGTGAAAGGTTTTAGGTTTGAATCTCGTAGATGGTGATTTTCATATTAAATTAGGTTGTTCATTGTGTGGTTTAGCCGAACTCCTTTAATGTAAAAATATCGAAATATCGATGTACTAAAAAAAAAAAAAAAAAAACTACAAAGAATGGCTTTCTTTTGAATTGGTTTTGATTTGGGGATCGGTTGCTGCGGAAGTTTATTTTCTGAGAGTCATAAAGGTATAGGCAATCTCTCTTTAGTCATATGATATACATGCATCAGAAATTGAACATAATATCATACAAAATACTAACCTGAAATTTGTTTCTGATCATTGAATCACTTGATGCGGTTAGAGAAAATACCTTTGGCACCACTTAATTATGATTTTAGAAAAATTCCACCAAACAAAAAAATAAGTACGCAATTTTTCAAAGTTTTTGAAAAATATTAAAATGGCCCTTATGTTTAGTAAAATGCATTTTGGAATGGGAAAAAAGCACATTATACAAGCATTTTGATAGTTCAAAACATTAACATCAGTTGTTTAAGAGTGCTATATGTTAAATGTTGTGAGATATTTTTGTGACGTGAGAGCGTGTTTGAATTATTAGGCCTACTACATGGGTATTTCTGATAGAATTGTTGGATTTGCTACATAAATAACCCATCTATGATATAAGATCAGAATGTGAGCGTTTAACTAAAAATCAATTATTGATGGAGGAAGAGACACATAATATTTCAATCAATTATGTTGGACTCTCATGTTTTGATACGAGATATTATCTACAGGAAAAATATTTCATCAATCTTAACATACATATTATGTCACTTAGCATTACGGTCTAATATTATTTCTCTTTACTTGTAAATCATAGGTTTTAGGTTCGACTATCATCACTCACTAATATCAAGTTAAAGTTTGGCAGTATAATTTTTTTTAATTTTAACAAACGATATTATATACACTAAGGCCCTGTTTGGCAGATCGGATAAAAGATCGGATAGGATTAGTTATACGGACTCGGGTGTTTGGCGTTCACTTGTACTAAATAAGCGTCGGATTAATTTAACCGGTCGGATAGGATAACACGGTATACACCAGCTTAATAAAACCAACCAAAACGCCCGGATTATTTAGTCGGGGAAGAAGAATATGGGAGAGAAAATGAGGGAGTTTGGGGGGTGTGGCGGAGAAAGCTGGGGAACAATTATTTGGGATTCTTCTGCAGTTGGGGAAGAAGAAGGGAGAGAGAGGGAGAGTATTTGGGGGGTGTGGAGAGATCTGGGAACAAAAAAATGATTTCACTTTTTTTAAAATTTTTTTTTTTTTTAAGTTTGATTCCTCCTATCTAGTATAATACCAAACACATTATAAATAATACGGTCATTAGTCTGATACTGCACCAAACACCCGACTAATTTAGTCAGTACTATCCGGTGGCTATTTATCCTATCCGACATAAATAGTCAGTACAGTCCGAGCTGCCAAACGAGGAGTGGGCCAAGCCTTACTATTCAATAAACCGCCTTTTTGAAGATTGTATTATACCTTGACATTTTGGAAAAAATGATTCTATAGCTTCGCAAGTCAATGGCTCAATGCACATTTTGGAACATGATCTTGATTTGAAAGTGATTACATAGCTATCTAAATACCATTAAAAGATAATTGATGATGTCAATACCACCCAAACTATTGATTTTCCAAATTTCTTACATCTTAATCATCTAATATGAAATGACACGGCAATTTGTTTTTGATGATGTCAATACCGACTTGAAACTAACTCATATGGGTTCTTAATAGTTGATTTGCTTGATCGTATCACTTATTGTAAAGACTTAAACGGTTATGAATATATAACAGCAATTACTCTTTACAAATACGGTCACTTACTTTGCTAAATATAGATGCACCATGAAATTTGGCGAAGTTTCTAATTAATTAATTTCATAATTTGAAGCGTTTTATTTTTTTTCTATTTCAATCCTCATTATTTAATCCATAAACTAATTTGTATTGAAATGACAAATAAATAAAAAATGACGTAAACATATATGGAAATATTACCTTTTTATAAATCATGTCCCATTGGAGACATCCGATAAAATTGGAATGATATAAAAAAAATTAGCATAGCTCTTCCGCAAAATAACACGCATCAATCGAGAAATGATCTATTGTTGTACTTAAAAAAATGGTTCATAACCGGTCCTTTTCTTATTGGGCCAGAATTCAGTTCATGGGCTCTTCAAATCGGCCTTGGGTATCTCTTTCTATTGGGCCTGAATCCAATCAGTCAAAATTTAACGGGCCAAAATTCAAAAGGTCCATTTTTACTGGTTCGGCTGCGGAGGAGAGACAGCCACCGGGCTACGTTTTCACTCCTCGGCAATTCCGACCGCCGTGGCTACTGCGCCAAGTTGCTAACTTGGGAAATCAATTCCGATGAGCAGCCAGCAGAGACGTCCGCCGGACCCAGTGGCGGTGCTGAGAGGCCACCGTGCCTCCGTCATGGACCTCTCTTTTCATCCTTACCAACCTCTCCTGTTCACCGGGTACGATTCAACACTTATGCAACCTACCCTTTTGTTAATTTTCCTCAAAGATTATAAATTTTGATCAAACTCGCTTCTTCTTCTTTTTTTTTTTTTTTGTTCTAGTTCATCAGACGGCGAGTTGCGGATTTGGGATACTATCCAGCATCGGACTGTATCCTCAGCAGGGTAATTCAAATACTAATTTTCCATTTTTTATGATCAGAAAGTTGATATCTTTTTTGTTTTTGGAATGAAAAAGACAAATTTTATTTGCAATTTTCAGGGTGCATAATGCAGCACATGGTATTGCTTCTGTTGCTTGTACTGCCAAAAGAGTTATCAGGTGGTTTTCTTCTCATTTTTTCTACCTCTTATTTGCTTGTCAGATATACATACATACATACATACATATATATATATATATATAATTTTATTTTTGGTGCTAGAATTGAAATTTGAAAATGTTTGTGTAGCCAGGGTAGGGATGGAACGGTTAAGTGTTGGGATATTGAAGATGGAGGTCTGTCCAGGTTCTCAGCTAGTTCTCATGAATGTAGCCTATAGTTATTCGATTTCCGTTGTACACTGCTTCATTTGTTATTTTTGATCATGGCATGTGCCTCATTAATTTTGAACCTCGATATCGCCTTGGCAGGGTTCCATCTGTTACAATCAAGACAAATTCTTACCACTTTTGTAAACTTTCCTTGGTGAAGAGGCCTCAATCTTGTTCTACACGGATGGACAGGGTTAGGTTTCGTGATGGAGAGGAGAGAGGGGTGAAGGGGACTACCGATGAAGATACTTTGGACGACAGTAGAGACAATGGTGAAGAGGATCTGTCTGAACAGCCCAGCGCCTTTGAAGGTTTGTTGAAATTTGGAACTGTATTCTGGTCAGGAATATTGTCTCTGCACTTTAGCTACTTTCTCTTAGGAGATGAAGGCTTAGACTTTAGATTTATCTATTAATTGGATTTTGAATACTGGTCTCTTCTGTATTTGAAATTTGTTTTGCTCTTTATTGCTCTGTGAAAGTTCAGAAACAAGAATGCTGATAGACAGTTTTTGAAAACAGAAAATACTCAAGATGAAGGATCGAAATATGTCGCTGTAGCAGGGGAGCAGACTTCTGAGGTCTGTATCTAACCTTGATTATGTCTAGTTTGATGTTCATTTTTGGAGTCTCAATTACTCATTACCCTCATGTGGTTGGTTTGCAAAGGTTGAGATTTGGGATCTTAATACTGCAGAAAGGTTTGCACGGTTGCCTCAAAGCTGCTCTGGTGGCTCCTCGGGTATTTCTTCCAAGGAGAGCGGTCCCTTTCTAATTCATTCAACCTTTGGCTTACTAATTTATGGATTTGATTGTGTTTCAGTTTATAGCTGACGTTTTTGGGCCATCACTTTACTGTCCATACTTTCTTATTGTTTTCATCTAGTTTAGTCAAATGGCATTAATTCTTGCCAGGAATGTGCATGGCAATTCAAGCATTCTCACCATCTGAATCACAGGGATTCCTAAATGTCTTGGTTGGGTATATTCTTTTTCACTTCTCATTATCTATGTTTTATGAAACTGAGTACCTGATTAAAATTTTGATGAAAATGTAGATCATCCGTTTGTGTCTGCGACTATGCGGTTTTAATGATGTTTGGCTTCTTAATCTTCAGCTACTCGTAGTAGAATCTCTTTTGTTTGTTCTGTTTGTCTGTTGTCAGACTCTGTCAAAAAACTGCTCAAATTTGTTTTTCATCATTTTCTTTCAAACCAATGTTCTTAGGAAAGGTTGTTCAGAAGTCATATGTCATGAGTTCCTTGACTAGTTGTCTGTAGCAATCTTAGATCTCTTCAGGATGTATGTGGTGCATTCACTGAATTGCGCAAATATTTTGGGGTCAGAAGAATTTGATAACCTGGTTTGTGAGTTGTTGACACGCAATGTGAGAATGAGATGTATGTGTCATACATGAGTTATCCTACCCTTTCTAACTTCGGGGATGCTGGATCAAGATGTGTGTATAACAGATCTTAAAATTTGTTTATACAGTGTGAGCATGCACCCATTTTCATACATGTTATAATCACCGAAGAAGGATTATTCTGCATTTGGTTTCTGGAATTGAAACGTGAGTTCAAAATTTGTTATTTTCGTCATTTTGATATGTCTATTCTGATTTTGTTTCTTTGTTCTACATTGTACAGTTATGAGGATGGTTCCATGCTTTGGTGGGATATTAGAAATCCGGGGGTTCCAATTACCACTGTCAAGTTTCATTCAGAGCCAGGTGAGAGACCTAGAATCCAAAGAACCCCCGTGCGTTTTTATTACCCGTTCTCATTTTTCCTTTTGAAATAAACCACATTGTTCATGTACCTTATCTGCAGTTCTAAGTCTATGCGTTGATGGGTCATGCAATGGTGGTATCTCAGGAGCCGCTGATGAGAAAGTTGTGCTGTATAGTTTGGATCCTTCAATGGTAATAGTCATGTTTGAAAGTTTGTAGTACTACTCTAAGCGAAATTTAAGTGATATTTTATATCTCTTTTGCCGTAATGTTGTGCTGTCCAACCTAGGGTACGTGCATGATCAAGAAAGAAATTGTTTTGGAACGACCTGGAATTTCAAGCACTTCCATTCGACCTGACGGTAAAATTTTTGCAACAGCTGGCTGGGACCACAGGTTTGGAACATAACTTTCATTTTGAGATTTGAAGTGTATCTTGTAATTCATTCATCGCCGATCTGCATTCTTATGTCGTTTTGCCCTTTTTCGGTTTCACTCTTGATGGCAGAGCGAGGGTGTATAACTATCGTAAAGGAAATGCTTTGGCGATATTGAAGTATCACCATGCAACGGTATGATCCTATTTTCAAACAACAACTCTTTCTTGCGTTGATGCTATACTCACTACCGAGGGCCTGATTATACGTATTTGCGTATTATTGCAGTGTAATGCCGTTTCTTATTCCGCTGATTGTAAGCTAATGGCATGTGCATCAGAAGATACAACGGTGGCACTATGGGAACTCTATCCTCCTCAGACTTAAAACGATGCGGTCTATATTGTCCTATGGTCCCGAGTTCAAATTCCCCTCTTTGTGCTGAGTGTAAATAATGTTTCTACTAAAAAAAATAAGAGTATTGGCGCACCATGTAAGCACACTAGTTGAAAAACAGACGGAATTAGCATGACATCCGAGATGCTCTAATAAAATTAACTTGTACTGTCGAATTTTGGTCAGTGCCTCGTATATTTGGTGGTTGTCTTCGAACAAATGTTACTGGTTACGCCCCTGCTGTTATCTGAGGAGAAATTTTGGACGTCTTTATCACTTTAGGTGGCTGCTCTCGTAGTACAATTTGTTTATACTGAAAGATTTCCGTTTCCATTTTTACATTTTTTCTGCCGGCGGGATGAGCTCGTGAAATCCGAACCGTGTGGTGTCCTTTTTTTCGAGTGCAGGAACCTTGTGGTTTGAGGTCCCCAACGAGCGAGTCCTCCGTCCACAAGGCACCCGGAAATTTAAAACCGGCTTCATTGTTAAAATGTCACATTCCAGCTGCTACTTAGTATTACGAGCTATTGATATTTCTCTTCGCTTATAAGTGAGAGGTCTTAGGTTCGATTTCCGCCAAAGGCGAATTTGAACCATAGTTATTGCTAGTCCATTGTGAAGCTAACCATATTCCTTCTTCCTTAATGTAGATAATATCGTTTGTTCAAAAAAAAAAAAAAAAATCTTCCTCCTTTAGAAACAGCCACTCTCAGAATTTCATATGAACGCGTCGTCATTTTCGAAGCAGCAGCCAGCAGGTGCCGACCTTCCTAACTATATATGGTTCTACTAATTAATTCCAAAAATCTTCTAATCCCTCTTCTTAATTAAGCACCAATCTTCAAAGCGAAAGCAAAGTGGAACCAAACAAGAGAGGAAAACTAAACATTAAGAATTAATGTTGACTTTTATTTTTATAATCATGAAAAATTATTTTAAAATTTTAAACAATATGTATAGTATAACACACACACACACACACACACACACACTTGTGAAAATGCTGAAGCTGAGCTGTGAGAAGATTGGATGTCTATGGTCATGGTTAGCCTGCAATGTTGAAAAATATAGGGGCTTTTAGATCCAGTTCCAAAAACGTAGAGTGTTTTTAGGAGTGAGTCCAGTTATCTAATTATATGTTTTTATTTCTTTTATTCTCATTTTATATTTTCTAAAAATATTAAAAATCAATTAAAATCTTCTAATATTATGCATTTTCCAACTCCAAAAGAATATATTTAATATCTTATAACAAAAAAACTAATATACTAAAATAAATTTATCTGCAAAACATTCTACCCTAACTCAAGTAACAAATATATGAATGTGTATAATATACCTATACGTGAGATATGAAACCTAATTAAAGGGTAGAAGAAACATAACATACCTACAAGTAAGACACATTAATCTGTGACAGGTTGATTATAAAAAAAGAATCTGTCATATAGGTAGATAAATATAATTAACCTGTGATATACGATTATAAAAATTAAAAATAAAATCTATAAATGGGGTTTAAAGTAGGAGGAAGAACGAGAAATAACAAAAAGATAAATAAAAAGAAATAAGCAAAGAGATAATTGAGAAGAAATTTGATTTTTATAATAAATCTTATCATTGAACAGATAACTATTGATAATTAAATAATTAAATATAACAAATTGGACTTATTTTAATAAACTGGACTATTCCTACTATTGGCTCAAAAAATTGGACTTATATCAAGTTTCCCCAAAAATATATAAGTTGCAATTGTACGTTTTAGGGTTTTTTTCAGGTCCTCTTATCTCTCACCAGAAAAATATTTCTAATTGAATTATATTTTTGGTCCCTCCAACAGCAATGGTTTGGTTTTGTCTCCTGCTGGTAAAGCAAAATGCAAGGGTGGTTATGGCCTATGATGCTTAATTACTATAGGTTCATGAATATATGAAAGATTTGACTCAAGGCACCCAGAAATTTAAAACCGGCTTCATTGTTAAAATGTTGCATTCCAACTGCCACTTAGTATTACGAGCTATTGATATTTTTCTTCACTTGTAAGTGAGAGGTCTTAGGTTCGATTTTCGCCAAAGGCGAATTTGAACCACAGTTATTGCTAGTCCATTGTGAAGCTAACCCTATTTCTTCTCCCTTAATGTAGATAATATCGTTTGTTCAAAAAAAAAAAAAATCTTCCTCCTTTAGAAACAGCCACTCTCAGAATTTCATATGAACGCGTCGTCATTTTCGAAGCAGCAGCCAGCAGGTGCCGACCTTCCTAACTATATATGGTTCTACTAATTAATTCCAAAAATCTTCTAATCCCTCTTCTTAATTAAGCACCAATCTTCAAAGCGAAAGCAAAGTGGAACCAAACAAGAGAGGAAAACTAAACATTAAGAATTAATGTTGACTTTTATTTTTATAATCATGAAAAATTATTTTAAAAATTTAAACAATATGTATATATATTATACTATATTTTTCAACTTGTGAAAATGCTGAAGCTGAGCTGTGAGAAGATTGGATGTCTATGGTCATGGTTAGCCTGCAATGTTGAAAAATATATAAGTTGCAATTATACGTTTTAGGGTTTTTTTCAGGTCCTCTTATCTCTCACCAGAAAAATATTTCTAATTGAATTATATTTTTGATCCCTCCAACAGCAATGGTTTGGTTTTGTCTCCTGCTGGTAAAGCAAAATGCATGGGTGGTTATGGCCTATGATGCTTAATTACTATAGGTTCATGAATATATGAAAGATTTGACTCGCAGAGTTTGGTGGTTTGCAAGCAGCACGCATGGCTGCTAAACATTCTTTTTGCAGGTTCATGGATTAAGAGCTTAATTTAATTTGTATGGATAATCCGCAGTCTAAAGTGGTTGACGTACACCTTAATTAGTTATAAGTTAGGGCTCATTTCAGACAAGTTCAAATCTTCTATATACTCATTTTGTGTGTGACCTAGTTTCTGTTATTGATCGACACGTGTTCATAAACTTAACACTCCATCAACTCTGGTGTCATAAACTTAACACGTGTCAATCAATTATAGAAGCTACAAAGAAGCCACACACAAAACAGATGCAAAAGATTTGAACTCATTTCAAATTGTTTACATAGAAATTAATTTAGCACTTACATTCATGAGCGTCTTAAAAAAAATTACTAGAAAATACGTTAAAGTTAGTTTTTACGATTTATTAGCATTTTAAAGGTATTTTTTTGTCAAACGTAAGTATCATCATCATGAGCGATTTTAGCTCTTTCGTACGCACCATCGTAAATAAATTTTGAGTCATTTCGAATACTACAAACACAAACAAGAAAATATGATGGCAAACAATAAAATAAACAAAGTTGACCAAAAGAACGAGTGTGTGTGTGTGTGTGTGTGTGTGTGTGTATGTGAGGAAACTTTCACTAATAATATTCTTCGACCAAAACATAAAAAATATATAGAATTAATTAAGGAATATCGCATCTCAACAATACATATAAAATACATATACCAATACGCATGGTGTATATTGTAGAATAGCAAGACGTGCTGTATTTTTTATTTTCCACGGCCCGACAATTTGAGTCGATCAATTTATCAATCATTACAAGAACAAGATCAGAAATGCATTATAAATTTAGTTGAAGGATGTATCTGTCTAAACCAACCGTATCAAAGACATTCTGAATGAGCCCCATCAACCGTTTACAAAATTGTCCAAGTACACTAAGGAATATCTCACTTAATAACAAATATAGAATTAAAAGATCATGACTTCAATTGTTGCAAATAAGGTTGTAAAAGACGTTAAGTGCTAGTCGGGCAACAAACAGGGGCCTAGCTTCAGTTTATTCATACTTATTGAACAAACTAACGGTTGTGATATTAACAAGTAGTACCCTCATAACCTACTTTCAATTTGTCTAATTCAAGTCACGTCATCATATGGGGAGGAATAATTCATGCCATATTGTTGAGAATCCCGGATTGATAATTTGAGAAACCAAATTGCAACTTATAATATATGGTACAATACCTAATTACACTGAAACATCTAGGAAAAACCCTCAGTGTTTCATGGTTAGGGAGCTAGGTTTGACGATAACAGGGCGTTATATTAATGGAATGTAAGATGTCAATCATGTCCTGTTAACAACCATAGAGGAATTGGAACCTTGAAGATTTTACAATTAATATAGACCAAATGTCAAGGGACTTAAGAGGATACTGTAATATTAACAACTAACGGGCAAAGCTATAATTTAGCATCAAACTAGTTATTATCAAGATAGTAGAATTTACAAAATCTTAACTTACTCATGAATAAAATATTGTACCAGATATATACCGAGTTTAAGACATCTTACTTATCCACGTCGAGAAGAATATAACTCAATATAGTGCTAATTAATGACATATACTTGTTGATTAGAGGAGCACTCCCTTACTTATTAGTTAGTTCCAGGCTATATTCATTTAGTTAAGAGTAATGTTAGAGAAACTAAATTTATAGACTAAATGATGTGTCACCGATAGGAAATGAGCACGTTTATCAACGTTTAAGTAATAATCCAATCATCAACTCCCATATCATTTCTCGTTTGGATTTTTTTTTAAATAACTGAAAGCTCTTTTAGAGAAAATGTTTTTAGATTCCAAAAGCACTTAAAGTGATTGCTGCAAGAAACTCTAATTATGTGCTTCTTCTAGTGACACTTTAAGCGTTTTTCCAGAATTTACTTGCATTTTTACCAAATATTAGTTCTAAAAACATTTTCATCAAAAGAGTTTTCAGTCATTTTAAAAGCACATCCAAACAAGCTCTTAGTTTACAAAATTTAGTCTCCTTAGCATTGTTTTTTAGTTAATTAATTAGGACTGGGTAACTCGAAAACCCTAGTATTTAAGGAGGGCCAGGTCGAGACTTGAGACAGACAGAACCACAAAGCTATAGCTCATAAATCACAGCTAAAGCACAATTTAAGTAAGCAAAAACCAAGAAAGAAAGAAAGAATGAAGCCAATTACCAGTCTCATTCTTTCATTTCTGTTGTTAATAATATTTCTTGGGTTCTCTCGGAGGGCCCACGCTGCCGGTGGCAATTGGCAAGTGTTGGCAACCATTGGCGTTTCCGCCATGCACATGCAGCTCTTAAAAAATGACCGCATTGTCCTGTTCGACCGCACAGACTTCGGCACATCCAACTTGTCCTTGCCCAACGGTAATTGCGTCAATAACGACTGCACTGCCCACTCTGCCGAGTTCGTCGTCCAGACCAAAGCCTTCCGCCCCCTCACGGTCCTATCCGACGTCTGGTGCTCCTCCGGCTCCATGGCCCCCAACGGCAACTTAATCCAAACCGGTGGCTTCAATAGTGGAGAACGCCGCGTTAGAGTTTTCCAACCCTGCACGGGTTGTGATTGGACGGAGGTTGTGGATGGCTTGGCCGTTCGCCGTTGGTACGCCACCAATCATGTTCTGCCCGATGGACGCGAGATTATCATCGGCGGCCGGGGGCAATTCAACTATGAATTTTATCCGAAGACCGAGTCTACAAGCAATGTCTATAGCTTGCCGTTCCTTTCGCAGACCAATGACCCCGGCCAAGAAAACAATCTATACCCTTTTGTTTTTCTCAACCCTGATGGCAACTTATTTATTTTCGCTAACAATCGAGCTATTTTGTTGGATTACGTGAAGAACGTTGTCGTTAAAACCTACCCGCAAATACCCGGAGGCGACCCGAGGTCGTAACCCAGCACGGGTTCAGCCGTATTGCTACCATTGAAGAACTTGATGGCTCCATCTGTTGAGGCTGAAGTTTTGGTCTGCGGTGGAGCTCCAAAAGGGTCATTTGTCCAGGCAAATAAGGGTACTTTTGTGGAAGCTCTAAACACATGTGCTCGGATCAAAATAACAGACCCTAATCCACAGTGGATTGTTGAAACTATGCCTCAAGCTAGAGTCATGGGTGACATGTTATTGCTCCCAGACAGCACTGTTTTACTCATCAACGGTGCATCGTCGGGGGTTGCAGGTTGGGAAATCGGGCGTAATCCTGTTCTCAACCCAGTTTTGTACCGACCAGATAATGCAGTTGGGTCAAGGTTCGAACAACAAAACCCTACCACCATACCGCGAATGTACCATTCCTCAGCATTATTGGTACGCGATGGTAGAGTGATCGTTGGAGGTAGTAACCCCCACGATAAGTACCAATTTGGCAGCAACGTGCTTTTTCCAACAGAATTTAGATTGGAGGCATTTAGTCCTGAGTATCTCGACGCTAAATATGCGGATTTGCGTCCTACTATCATCACACCCCTAAACCTAGCCAAAATCCATTACGGAAGAAAATTGACCGTTCAATTCTCGCTTACGGGCACACTCGCTATGAATTCAGTGTTGGTGACGATGGTGGCGCCGCCATTTAGCACACATTCGTTCTCCATGAATCAAAGGTTGCTGGTTCTTGGTGCAGAGAACGTACAAAAGGTAGGGCCAACAACGTATCAAGCTCAAGTGACGACACCGACTTCAGTAAATCTTGCGCCTTCCGGATATTACATTTTGTATGTGGTTCATCAGCAAATTCCAAGCGAGGGCATCTTTGTTCATATTTACTGAGAACCTTGAAGGTACATTTCATTTCCCAAATGAAGAAACATGATTGGTTATCAGTTGAAAAAGAAAATGTTCATATGCTCAGAGATCAAGCTAGCTAAGAGTGCTAACTTGTCAGATGTAATTTCGATCACAATTTGCAAGTTGTACTTTCAATTTCTTTTGTATTTTGTTTCTTTTTTTTACCGAAATTGTAAAGTTTGTGTTTAAACTGATGAATAAAGTTCTTTTAAACTTGCATTGAACTTTTGCCACTGATGTGTGTTCAGGGTACTCACAAATTAGATGAATCAAACGCTACTAAATACTCACAAGGGCACAAAATCAAAAGTAGTGAAGCAAGGGCAAATACAAGATTGATCTCATATAAATTGCCTTAAAAACCGATTTAACCGATTAGTAAACAAGCTTAAGTTAAAAACGAACGATGGATTGACAGTGATTAAAAGGTAAACTAAACAAAATGAATCAAAAGGTAAACGATGGATATGTTATTTAAAACTAAAATTGGAAATCGAAAGAGAGACAAAGTAGGAAGACTAGATCATCATATTAGGGTTTCACCATATGCCCTAGCAAAAGTGCTTAGTTACAACTAGAGATAAAAATAAAAGGAAGATAGAACTCGAAATCCATGGTGATGCACATCTCAAACTCTTCTTCTCCGTCAAACAAAAATTGTATGTGTAAAGAGGGCATAAGGCACCTTATTTATATTAAAACAACACAATTCTAACTCTAAAAAGTGTTAGGTTTTGAACTTCCGTATCATGATAAGGATACCTAAAAACGTGGATTGAATCAATCAGAAGTCATGACCATGTCAACAACTTGTCTCCTGGAATTAAGGGAATGTGGGAGACAAATCTCCTGGAATTAAGGGATTGTGGAAGTGTTAAATCTTATCCCATTTTGATGTAAAAAGATAATAGGTATTAACTGATCCCATGATAGCTGGGATCATGTTAGGAATATAGCCTATAAATATGAACGTCCCTGCTCACCAGAATAAGTTCACTTGATCACTAGACTATCGCTAGTATTGGACATAAGGGCTTTGTGAGTAGAAGACTTTCTGTTAACTTCTTTTCAGAGTGATCGCATTACTTCACATGGCTTCTGCAGGTGTATATATATATATATATATATATATACACTGATTCATTCACTCAAATCATCTTATTGTTTATTGTAATCTTAGCTTGGGACTAAATGCTTATTCTAACAATTGGTATCAGAGCCTTTTTAGTCTCACTGAGATTCAAGTTTTTGTATATATGTATCTATACTTCTTATGGCTTCTGCAGTGACTGCAGAATAAAGGAGGATCGTGTGTGGATTTGTTTTCTTAGTATAATTGATCGTATGAACTACATCAAAATGGGTTCATATTGAAATGTTAAACTAAGAAATCAGAAGTATGGGAATTCGTAGTTCATTTAATCATAACATGCATATAAGATCTTCTAAAGAAGGCAACGTATGAATGGTTTGATTAATGGAATAGGGCATAGTTTTGGTGAATGGTTAACTGTGTTTCGGATTCTTGTCTAAAGACTTGAGTTTTGAAATATTTTTAACAAATAACTAAATGGCTATGCATGGATTAAGTTCTTGCAGTAAATGTTCCTCACCCAAAGGTGTTGTATCTTACTGTGTTTTCCCTACTTCATTGTTTTCATAATGTCTAACCACATAGCTTCTGCAGTGAATCCCACTTCAATGAATTTTTCCTCTATTGAGCCTTTAAATGGAGGAAATTACAAAAAATGGAGACAGGATGTGGAGATTATTCTTGGACTAATGGACTACGATCTGGCACTGAGGGAAGATGAACCACAAGCACTGGATAACAATAGCACCGTTGAATAAAGGCTGAAATTTGAAAAATGGGAGAAAGCGAATCGCATGGCACTATTGGTGATCAAACGATCCATTAGTGAAGCTGTTAGAGGAGGCATTCCTGCAACTGACAAAGCGAAGGATTTCCTGGAGGCAATTGAGGAAAAATTTAAGGTTTCAGAGAAGGGAGAGATGGGAAACCTCATGACTACCTTGACAACTCTGAAATATCATGGGAAAGGCACTGTCAGAGAACACATTCTGAAGCTAGTGGAGGCTGCTGCGAAGCTCATAGACCTGGAGGTTCCCATTGATGATGCTTTTGTTTTTCATATGGCCCTTAATTCCCTCCCAGATGCATATGAACAACTGAAGACGTCATACAACACACAAAAGGAGAAGTGGAGTCTGAATGATCTCATTTCCATATGTGTTCAAGAAGAAAGCAGGATCAAAAGGGTGTCAAATGAAACAGTGAATTTCATAAAGGCAGAGACTACGAGGAAAACTATCTCGACATCTGGTAAGCCATATAAACCTTTTTCCTATTCTCATGCTGCTGGAAATGATACTCCATCATCCTTCAAGGGATCTCAAGGTTTTAAAGGCAACATTGAAAATATTAAATGTTATTTCTGCAAAGAATTTGGTCACTTGAAGAGGGACTGTGAAAAACGAAAGAAATGGGCACCTAAGAAAGGTAATAAAATTGAAAATGTTTTTGTCTGTGTTAATGTTAATCTTGTTGAAATCCCTAAAAATTCTTGGTGGTTTGACACTGGTTGTTCGGTGCATATTACCAATTCTTTGCAGGGGTTCACAAGAAGGGAAATTTCAAGAAATGAGGTCTATGATGTCCACGTTGGGGATGGGAATAAAGTAGCTGTGGAGGCAATAGGCACCCTAAAGCTCAAGTTGTCAAGTGGTTTCGTTTTACAGTTGCTAGATGTTCTTTATGTTCCTAGGTTAACTAGAAGTTTAATTGCTGCTTCAAAGCTTGTAAAAGACGGTTATGTTTTTGTTGGGGATGATGAAAGTGTACGGATTTATAAGAAAAGTAATATGAATCTTTTGCTTGGTAATTGTTTTTTAAACAATGATCTTTGGAGGATGAATTGTCAAGTAATGTTAAATTCAAAATGTTTGACAGTGGAATCAAATTTATCTTTGAAAAGGTCTCTGACAAATGAAGGGTCTTCAATGCTTTGGCATAGAAGGCTTGGACATATTAACAAGCAAGGATTAGAAATTCTAGTTAAAGAACAAATGCTTCCAACGTTGGATTTTAATGATATGCAAAATTGTATTGACTGTTGGAAAGGGAAATTAACAAACACAAGGAAAATTGGTTCCACAAGAAGTCTTAACCTCTTAGAAGTCGTCCATTCAGATGTTTGTGGACCTTTCTCCACGCAAACAATCTGCAAAAATGCCTATTTTGTGTCTTTCATTGATGATTTTTCTCGATATGCATATGTATATCTGATATCCGAGAAAAATCAAGTGTTTGATTGTTTTAAAAATTTCAAAAATGAAGTGGAAAGACAACTAGAAAAGAAAATTAAAATCTTGAGATCGGACCGTGGATGGGAGTATTATGGCAGGTACACAGAGAAAGGTCAACAAAAGGGTCCAATGGCCATGTTCTTGGAAGAAAACGGGATTCAAGCTCAGTATACTACTCCCGGAACACCACAGCAAAATGGTGTAGCCGAGAGAAAGAATAGGACCTTGATCGAAATGGTGAGATGCATGATGAGTAGGACTGATCTTCCTATGTTTTATGGGGTGAGGCTCTTAAAATGGCAAATTATATATCGAATAGAGTCCCAAGTAAATCCGTGCACAAGACTCCATTTCAACTTTGGACTTCAAGAAAACCTAGTTTGAATCACCTTCATGTATGGGGATGTAAGGCAGAAGCAAAAATGTACAATCTAGAGGCAAAGAAACTTGACTCTAAGATTGTAAGCTGCAGTTTTATTGGTTTTCCCGAGAGATCAAAGGGGTACAGGTTTTATGCTCCAACCTTACATACGAGAATATTTGAAACAAATAGTGCAAGGTTTATTGAAGCGGAAGAATCAAATGGAGATAAGGCCCGTGATTTTATTTTTGAAGAAGAAGAAGAGGCTGTGACAACAATTTCCCCAATGTCATCAACCAAAATTGATTTTGCAACTCTTGACACGCAAAACCAAGTCCATGAGGATTTTTATCAAAGTGATTTTGGTGGGGCTACTGGTTTCCAGCATGCATCAAGCAGCAGCAATACGCAAGTCTGCAACATGCAATATAATGGAGTTGAAAATCATGGTACAACTACCATGCAATCAGTAATGGTTCCTGCAACAAGGAGGCAGCCTCAACGTACAAGAAAGTCTCCAATTTCAGGAGATTTTCTTGTTTATGTGGGAGAAGCTGAGAAACTAGAGAAGACTGTCGATGACTCACTTGATTTTCAGCAAGCAAATGGAGATAGAACTGAACATGAGGAAGGCATAGAGATTGATCCAGTCACCTTCAAGCAAGCGATGACAAGTGAAAAGGCTGAGCAGTGGAAGATAGCCATGCAAGAAGAAATGGACTCCATGTATTCGAATGAAGTGTGGGTCTTGACAGAAGCAAATGAGTCCATAAAACCCATTGGATGCAAATGGGTATACAAAACAAAGAAAGACTTAAAAGGAAAGGTTCAGAGGCATAAAGCAAGACTAGTTGCAAAGGGGTATACTCAAAGGGAAGGATTGGATTACTCTGAGACATTCTCACCTGTTTCTTCAAAGGATTCTCTCAGAATCATCCTTGCTATAGTTGCTCACTACAATCTAGAACTCCACCAAATGGACGTGAAAACTGCGTTCCTAAATGGAGTGTTAGATGAGGAGATTTACATGGTCCAGCCACCTGGTTTTGTTGAAATGGGGCAAGAACAAATGGTGTGCAAACTGAGAAAGTCGATTTATGGGCTGAAATAAGCTTCCAGGCAGTGGTTCTTAAAGTTTGATGAGAAAATAACCAGTTTTGGTTTTGTTGAAAACAAAATTGATGATTGTTTGTATCTCAAGGTATGTGGCTCGAGGTTTATCTTTCTAATTCTGTATGTTGACGACATTTTATTAGCAAGTAATGATCTTAATCTCTTGCTGGAAACAAAGAAACTACTGTCACGAACGTTTGAAATGAAAGATATGGGTGAGGCTTCCTTCGTTTTGGGTATAGAAATTATTCGTGATAGAAGCAGA